CAATGACATGAGACAAAGTATATGTGAACTGCTGTATGGAAAGTGAATTTGCTCTGTAAATCTTCACCCAAATCACAATTAAAAAAAAAAAAAGAAAAAAGAAAGAAAGGGCCTCTGCTCAACTGGCACTTCCCAAACAAAGTGGACCTGGGCCCAGCCCAGCGTGCCTGGGCAGCTGGCTCACTCCAGCCATGCAGAGGCCTGCGATCCACAGCACCAGGGACACAGCTGGAGAGCTGACATAACACGTAACCACAGTTCCTCTCTCCAGGGAAACCAGGCCCAAAGCCATGGGCAAGCCCCTCCCATTCCCAGCAGCCAGGACTGTGGCAGAGCCCCAAGCTCTGTCCCCTCCCACTTTTAAGCACCTCCCTTTTCCACCCACTTCTGAAAAGGGGGTCCTTGTCTTCATGATCCCCACTTCTTCACCTAGCTATCCATCTAGCATGCAACACTCCAGCTCATTCCTTACCATTTAAAGCTCATTTCTTTCCAAAAAGGTCTGAAGCATCTGCTAAGTCTGGATCATTCTAGCGAGTGTGGATCTGCTGGGGTTAAGTAGGAAAGCAGTGAGACCTACCTTCACTTGACTAAAATCACTCTGCCAGTAGAGTGGAGCATGCAGGCAGGGGCGTCAGGCACAAACAAAAGATAAGGTTCCCAGCAAGTGCGTGTGGAGGAGGACATGGAATGTAGGAGGGGCAGGCTGACATCCAGTGGCAGAGCACTGACTCTGAGTCGACTGTGTGACCCATTTGAGGAAGCTGAAGAGACACAGGTATGTGGTAGTGTTTGGAAGCGGGAGACACAGCCACTGCCCAGGGTGAACATATGGTGCAGAGTCGGCCTTTTCTGGGACACAGATGTCTTTCATCTGTAGAAGCTCTGGTAGTGTAGTGCTAACCAAAAGGTTGGTGGTTCAAACCCACCAGGTGCTCCCTGGGAGAAAGATGTGGCAATCTGCCTCCATAAAGATGACAGCCTTGGAGACCCTGTGGGGAAGGTCCATTCTGTCTTATAGGATCGCTGAGTTGGAATCGACTCAATGGCAGGCAGTGGGTTTTATCTACAGGCCTCACTCCAGGAAAACGCCCACCCTCCCCACGCACCCACCCACTCTTCTGGGATGAAAGTGGCTAAGGACCCTTTGTGCAGCAGAAGTCGAGAGCAGAACCCTGGAGAACACCAGTGTCTATGAGGCTGAAGAAGTGTCTGGGAAGGATACTGATGAGCAACAAAAGGGAGGAGAAAACCACAGATACTGTGTTAAAGGCCCACCGATCTCAAGGAAGATGAGGCCTGACGCAGGCCCCTGGGAACTGTTTCAGGCAGTGAATGAGTGAATGTAGAGGCAGATAAGGTTAGAGAAGGATGAGAACATGGAGCTGGGTGGACAGACAACATGGAAAAGAATCCCGCTGCACATCCCTCAAACTTACAGGTGAGAGGAATAACCTGACTTTGTACCTGAAGTAGCATGGAGCAGAAAGGTGACACCCTAGCTGAGTCCCACAGGGCAGGGGACCTGTGACTGTTTAGAAAGTGCCTAGCAGCCGAGTGGTCAAGGCAAAGCTTTGTCCCCTCATATGGGCTGACAACTCTGCTCTTCTCATAGCTGCAGATTTTCCCTCAACAAGGCAGGCCTGGCAGAACTGAGGCAGCCCGACACCAATTCGATGAATGTTACAGAGGTCACTCTCCCTGTGGGGACAGCTGTGGTTCGGTGGTAGAATTCCTGCCTTCCATGCTGAAGACCTGGGTTTGATTCCTGGCCAGTGCTTTTCGCTGACCACCACCTGTCTGTCAGTGAAGGCCTTTGTATGGCTGTGATGCTGATCAGGTTTCAACAGAGCTTCCAGACTAAGACAGACAAAGAAGGCCTAGCACTCAATAAGAAGAGACAGGGATTGATTTGGGTGAAGAGAAGGGCAATGTACCAAATGTGAGTGATCAGCATGGTGGCACTGAGGAAGAGGAAGACATAGAGAGGTAGGTGGGAGGTACAGACAACAAATACATTTGAAAAAAAAAAAAACTTTTGCACATACAGTACTGTGTTGTCAGTGAAGGCAAACATGGATGTACGGGTGGATAGATGGGGGGACAGGCTGAATTACTAGGTATATCTATGCAGGGGGGAGCATGTCCAAGACCATGTATAGGATTGGCAGACAATGGTTCTACAAGTGTATTTGTATGTTCTGTAAGAATTCCCAGGTATATAGTAGAGCTGACAAGGGATAAGGTTGTAGTCACTTCTTGGCCACAGCCAGCTACCCAGAGGGAGCAAGTAGTTGGACCTGTGGGCTCGGGACGATAGTCGCAGGGGACATCAAGCTCAGTTGGCATAACATACTACACAAAACATTGTTCCACATCCTACTTTGGTGAGTAGCAGCTGGGATCTTCAAAGCTTGCTACTGGCCATCTAGAAGCAACGATGGATCTCTCCTCATCCAGAGCAAAGAAAACTGAAGAAAATGAAAGATTAACACAAACAATTAGTCCATGGGACCATGCGATCCTCAGCCTATACAACCATGAGACTAGAAGAACTAGATGGTACCTGGCTACCACTGTCAAACACTCCACGAGGAATCTATGTAGGAGATCCTGGACAGAATGGGAGAACAATGTGGAACAAAACTCAAAATCATTTAAAAAAGGAAAATAAAAAGGGACCAGGTTTGCTGGTCTGATAGAGCCTGATGGAACCACTGAGACTATGGTCCGTAGCTGCCCTTCAGGTCTGGAATTGAACCCACTCCTGCGGCCAAATAAAAGACAGGCCTATTTGGTGAACATTTACATTAGGTAGATAGACTCCTTGGAGAGATTAATCATGAGAGAATAGAAGGGCAGTGTGTGCACAGGGAGACAGCCCGGAGGCAGGAGTGCATGGGAGGGATGGACACAGGGAAGAGGTAACCATGGGGAGGAAATGGGAGGGGAGCTGTTGCATTGTGGGAAATTGTCATCAATGTCATGAGACAAAGTGTATGTGAACTGCTATATGGAAAGTGACTTTGCTCTGTAAACTTTCACCCAAAAGACAGAGAAAGAAAGAAAGGCAGCCTGGATTTGCAAAGAATCAGCCAATGGTCACAGCCCAGGGATCACAATGGTCCGATCTTGTTATCCATGGGATCACTGAGTCAGGGCCAACTCCATGGCAGCTAATGACCACTATGATGGGAATAAACCCTGTCCTAACCATGGAGACGAAGTGAACAGAGTCCTCGTCCTCAGCAAGCAGTCTATGAAAATGATTTAGTTGCTTGAGTGACTGACTCAGGACAGAGTTGACCTGTGGGTCTCATTCTAAGGGAAGCTGAACCCAAACAGGAAAAGACAAAGTCCCT